AAATTATAGGTCACAGATTATTTTTATTGGTTACAAATTATTTTTAGGTCACAAATTAAAAATTTTATTCGTCACAATTTAATTCATTGGTCACGAATCAAAAAATTATAGATCACAGTTTATCGATAGGTCGCATATTTTAAAATTTCTTGGTCACAAATTATCGAAAAATTATAGATCACAGTGGATCTGCCCCCTGTCACAACAAAAAACCACCACAACCATCGCCACCTGCACCACCAAACCAAAAAAACCACCACAGCAGCCAGACCCACCGCCGCTGCAGCCAGACAACCCAAAATCCCCCAACAACACCAAAACCACCACAAACTACCACTACACATAAGCACCACTATCTCCACCACAAATCCACTATATCTGTAAACCAACACAGCACAAGCTGCCTCGCACACCAACATAGCACACACAGCCTCGTACACCAACACAATACACGCCAACGCCGACACAGTTCCAGTCATCACCACCACCTCGCACCCCAACACAGCCCACACCGCCATCAACACAGCCCGCCATCAACGCACACCACCACCTCGCACCGGATCCAACCACAACCACACACATAACCAAAACAGACGCTGCTAGAACAACCACCACAACCACACATCACCAACAGCTCACCTGATCTAAAAGGCAGGAGAAAGTGCAGCAACAAGTATTCATGGTGAGGGGTCTAGGAAAGTAGAAAGCCGATGTTAACCGCTAAATGATAGTGTTTCGGGGTAATAATCCGACCGATTCCTTTTTTAGAGAGGGGACGATTCTGTAGTGGTGATGATGCGGCGGTGTCGGTGGGATGGTGGCGGCGGGAATAGAGAGATATTGGAGAGAAAACGGGTTGGCAGGAGAGAGAGATAGGGGAGTGGAAATGAATTAATTAGGGTTGAAATTGTGTATGATTAATTTAAATAAAAATTGATTTAAAAATTATTAATTAAAACTTGATTTATGTATTATTAAAGATGATTTTGAATTTTTGAAAATTGTAATTTAAAAGTAGAGGTGGGTGTAATTTCCTCTATTTTTAATGCATCTGGGCTTGGACAACAGTAGGCTACAACCTAGTGTAGCCCACTACTGAATCCGCCCATGGGCTTAATTGATAATGGCTGCTATTTATAGCACAAGCCCTCAACTTTTACATGGGCATCACTCAAGCCCTAAGCCCCTTATTGAGTCAAAAACTAACAAATTTCAAGGCGGCTGCCACAAGATTGTAATAATTGTTGCCAAAATTTCCTTTTCAAAGATAAAATAATTTATTCCAAATAAAATAGAGGACAAGCAATTCAAAAAGCTAAATTCCGATCACCATAAAATAATGAGTTTGTGAATAATGGGGCTCAAAAAGACCAAAATATTTTATTCACAATCGAGGCTTTTTCACTTTTCACAATCTTGGGACAAAAATTTTAACAATCGGGGTACAGGACATTCATTTATTGAGTTCACTCCGAGCCATCTTCTAACCACGTCTCCACTTGCTAAAGACAAACCAAAATTATTAATTCTCATGCAGCTCTTAATCACGATGCTAGAGAAATTGGTGAACTTATATAAACTTTGACATTTCAATTCTTAAAATAGAGAATTAACATACTTCCACTGTTCCACACGAGTATAATCACTAAGAATTAATTTTTTTAAAAAAAATTCAACTTACTCAAAAATTATGGTTCAACCCCCTACCAACATTTTTGGGAGCTCATTAGTCGTCAACATCAATTAATTTCACCACACTCCCAAACCATAGAACCACCACTACTACAGTCGCTGATATCGCTAACCGCTACCGGACCCGACCATCATCACTACCACTACCTATCAAAATTGGTGTTTCTTGTTGATTTTTACAGAATGTTTAGCCCTTTAAAACAATGGTGTGATGGTGACATTAGTGAAACTGGTTCTTTTTCTTCTCATTTTCTTTACTTGTGATAGTGCTCGAAAAGTGATGGACGTCTTATTTGGACGATATGGTGGTGCTGGTGGTGGTGTTGCAGATCTAGTCCACCGATGAAGAAGAGAATGAAATCTTGGTGACAATATTGAGTGGGTTTTTTAAGTTTTGATGATCCAATTGGAGGCGGTAGTGGTGGTTGGGATTGGATAGTCGTCGTGGTGGCTGTGATCTAAATTCTTTTATTCCACGTCTAAAAACGACTATTGTTGGCTAGTGGTAGATGATGAACTGTTCAGATAAACGGAATCAACAACTTTTATTCATTACTCGCCATTGAAGGTACAACAATGGTGGTCTATTTATAGACCAAGAGAAAGAGGGA